CCCCTAACCCTAATACAGGGGTCAAGTCCCATTGAAAAGAGGGCGATTTTGAAAAAGCCTTCCAATGTTTGGCTTTCCAGTCCCATCAGTCCTTGGCAGCAGAGTGCATGGTGAGGATAATGGGAATTACATCTGGTCAGGTCCCCAGCTGCCCGCCACATCCTATAATTTGTTCTGGCATTTCTACAGGAATCCTGCCCCATCTTTACAGAGGCAGGAGTTCTTGCTAATATTGGTCCAGTTGACAGAGAACGGAACAGGCTGGGGTGCAGCTCTGTCAATTGCACCTTGCAGAATCGGGGTGCTTCCAAGATGCAGTTGGAAATGCTTTCCGAAATTGCCTGTGTGCATTTGACGGGGCACTGCGTACATGCCAAGACACACACCTCAGCTCTTCTTCCGGCATGAATGCTGCGAAAAGAACGCACTCTCCAAATATTTCTTGTCAACACCGTGTGTGACATCTTGGAACGAGGGATGTGAGTGTGGGGGCGTGTGTACGCGCCCAGAGACAGACGCACACGTCATTATGTGCTGTTCTTTTTGGGAAAACACAGCGATGTTCCCAGAGCTATTAACATATCCGTCCTTTTTACTGTTTGACAGCCTGTTGGCCTGAGATTTCTCCATGAAATCATTTTATCAGGAATAAAAGCGATGCTTCCAAACTGAAGAGGCCTCCTTCCAGTTAATAGGGATTATTTTTAGCCCACAAAGTACTAATTGACAGAAAGAAAAACAATTTAGGATCTGGGGGAATGTACAGGTTATGAATGTATATGTTATGTTTGTATACAATCCCTTGGCATTATTTGTTTCCTTTCTTCCTTTCTCTATTGCATTTCTTTTAAGGAAACAATAAAATATTTTTGGAAGGTTTTTTTTTAAGGCCATGAACAAGGTATAGCGGATTCACGGGGCATAACTGGAGGGAATGGTATGCTTTGCTTGCTTGGCAACGTGGGTGAGCCCTAGAGAAGGGGCCCATTCAGCACCTGTGTGTCTAGGGAAGCTCTGAGGGGCGGTCCGTGCCAGCCCAGCCTCTTCCCTTTCCTTTCCACAGTCACTGGTCTCAGGCAACTTGAACGGTAGCCACAGGCTACCATCTCAGATTCACCCAAGAGCAAATCCAAGTGAACTCCGTGCTGCCTGCTTTGGAGCAGAGATGTGCCAGCGGGGCTCACTGCTCAGCCAAAGAAGGTTGACCAAACGGAACCTCGGTTCGCTTGCTTGGGGCTCGAAAAGGCAGCCTTTCCAACGGGAAAAACGCCTCCGAGCAGGAGTATGTTACACAGGAATATCTGTAGCAGGAGGACCGCCCCGCGGGAGGACTCGTCCGGAGACAGCACCTAGCTCAGACCCCTCCACGGTCCTGCCACCGCGTTTGCCGGCACGCCGCCCTCAGGCGCCGGCCACTGATGCCTGCTCCACCTCCACCTTCGCAGGAGCACCTGGCCCCACCTGGAAGCAGCGCTCCGCTCTGGCTCTGTCCAACCCATCTAGCGCCCTTGCTGTGCTCGGCCTTTTCGTTCTGAAGCTCAAGGGTTGCCTAGCCCTGCCCAGTCTGGGCCAAGGCCCCTTCTTCCTTTCTGCCCACTGAGAGCATAGGAAAGGGCACTTCTGAGCAATCCCACCATCTCCCAGGCTGATGGCTGGGCGAGCCGCCTATTTAGAGGCGAGCCCAAGTCCAGGGATCAGGTCCCAAGTTCAAAACGTGCCAGGCCCTCGCTTTGATGACGACGGTGTTTGTCTTCCTCCTGCCTTCTCAGCTCCCCCCTCTCCTTGTTACAACATTTTATTGCCATGGCTGTAACTTTATCGGTACTTTATTTTCCTTTTAATTGTAGCCTGCTGCAAGAACAATGGTAGAAAAGCCGGCAATAAAACTCGCTGAACAAACAAAGGAGCAATAATTCAATTTAGGCACAATAGCACCTGCCACCAGCGCTGCGTATTGGATTTTAAATTGAAGGGGGAAGCTGTTTCAGCGGCGATTTATCCTCCTTTATAGACAAAAAAAATATATAAAATGAAAATGAAATGATTAGAGAAGTAGTCACAGGAGCGCAGATGGAGGGTTTACCTTCGTTTCTGCTTCTTGGTGTTTTAACATGAATGTTTAGATCCCAATTCACCCCAAAAAAATTCCTCCTGCTCTACCTGTCCGCCCCCCTGCAACACCCTGGTGGCTAACAACTAACTGAAAACAAAATTCATTACAAATCTAAGAATTACAAGGCAACTCATTAATAAAAAAACAAAACCAGAGAAAATAAATTCCAAGTGACAACTACTTCAAGACAGCAAAAATCTGGCAAGGGGCAGTTTTCAATCAGCACAGCTGGATCTAAAATGCCTGTGAAAGGGATTCTCCAGCGTGAGAAACCACGGTTTGATAAATAGCTGTCAGCTGACCTAGCAATTTCAGGATCAGTTTTGCCTCCCCAGCACCACTGTATATGCATCAGATGAAACGCACGCCTCCTTCAACAGGCCACGCAACACCTTTGGGTCTGCTTTCAAACCCACTTTCGTGGTTTTGTCGGGGTCTGTTTGCAATCCCTTCCTATCTACTCCGCTGGGAAAAAACGGACAGAGTAGGACAGTCCATTTGGGATGCGTCTGCTTCAAAATGGCCATCGTCCTTTTAAGGCCGGCTCCAGGAATGCGGACCCGTTTTCGGCTGCAGGGCCGGATTCCATCGGGAATCTCTCCGGGGCTGCATATCAGTGGGAGGCAGAAACACCAGGCTGTTCTAGCTTAAAGCTCTTAATGCTGCTGACCACACCTATGGGGAGAGAGCTTAAACCTTTCAGAAAGGAGCGGGAAGCACCAGGAATGCCACGGAATGATCCGTGGTTTTGGAAGAGAGGCGCGGTTGTCTGGGGGACCCAAGCGCCATATCTGGCCTCTGATTTAAAAGGATCAGGCAGTAGGGCACGGCTTGGGGGTTTGGGTAAAGGGCAAGGGCAGGGTAATAAGCAAGGCTAGGTAGGGTCCCCAGGTGGGTGGATTTGGCCTTCAGGCTTCATGCTCAGTCTAGGAGGGTTTAGGTTAGGAAAAGGACAGCAGCAGCAACGGGACACCTGGCGCGGAACAAGTGGAGAGGAAGCCATCTCACTCTCGTAAGAGAACCTGAGGTCACCCCTCACCACCAGCTTGGCTGCCTTGGCACTCCATGCCCTGCTTGGGGTTTCCTATGGGCAGCTCGCTGTTTGAGGGCCAAACACACGGCGGGCAGAGAGAGACCCTGGTTTGCTCTTCTGACACGGCCCACAGGAGGGACTCTCTGGCCCTTCAGAGGGTCCTGGACTCCAGAGTCTAAATGTTCTAGAAGGAACAACCTGGAGGGCAGGCAGGCAGGCAGGCAGGCAGGCTCCCCTGCCCCGATCGAGCCCCAGGCGGCCTCTGCTCCATCTGACGGAGGCGCTCTAGAGCCTCCGAGGGCAGCTCCTCGCCCCTCCTCCCTTGGACTGGAGGTGGCAGGGAGCAAGGCAGGAGCCTCCCCATTCGCCTTGGGCCTCCCCTGGAGACGGCCACCAGAAGCTGCCTCGGACCAAGCCAGAGAAATGGCGCATCTGGCGTCACGCGCCCAGCTCGGACGGCGGCTCTCCGAAATCTCCTGGCAGGTGCTTCCCTAGGCCTTCCACATGCCAATGGGGGGTCCTACCACTCCTTTACGGAAAACCTCACGCCGACTGCCGTCTGCTTCTCACACCGAGAGGCAAGAGTCTTTGCAGAAGATCTCAACACCCTCTGCTCCCAGGTACTTCAGAGCCAGCACCTCCACTCCGGTTCCCCACCCGTCATTTTCGACTTCCAACCCCCTTCTGTCCCAGTAAGCATGGCCAATGGCCAGGAAGGATGGGAGCTGTAATCCAAAAGAATCTGGACGGAATGAGGTTGAGGCGGGCTTTTTTCCAGATCCGGACCAGCATTCTGAACGGAAAGATATGAATAGCCCGCATACACACCCGTCTTGCGTGATATACGGCCGGGGAACAAGGTGCTTGTCTGGCATTATGAGGAGCGGCTACGTGGTTGGGAGGAAGAGAATTTTCTGTAGCAAAAGATGAGGGCCGCTTCTTCTAAAATTAGATTGCAAGCTTCCGGCTTAGGGGAATTCTTGTCATATTGTACAATACAAGTAACCTACCCCGATCCTTTGAGGCTTTAAATCAAGATAAATATGATGAGTCATCTGGCAACACACACACCCCAGGTAAAAGAGATTAAAACCACGCATGGCGGGTGGGGGAAAGGGTATATCACTCAGCCTTGATCGGCTTTGTAAATCAAACTTGTAACGATTAGGGCAGGCTTCATCCATCTGGTGGAAGGCTAGGAGGGGAAGATATGGGCAGCGCTCACGCACACACCGTGGGGTATGGATTTCTGTGAGGTGCCTGGGTCGCTTTCTCTTCCAGAGGCAGCGTGTCCCTTCCACCTGTTCAGTTTCTAAGTGGAGGCTTAGACAAAGCCTGCCATAGAAAAACAATCGGAAATAAATTCTGTGTGACAGAAATCTGGATCCCAGCACTGGCCGAAACCACGCAAATTCTGCAGGCTTGCACAGATCTGCTCATAGGGAACGATTCTAACCAGGGGCAAGACACTAAATCCCACAGGCAGGCACCGACTCTGGGAAGTGATGCTCAGGCCCCAGATGGCTTCGGAGAGCTCACCAGGGTGGGCCTGTGCGTGTGCGTGCGCTCTCGCAGCTGTATCTGAGCGTCCTCGGACCTGGGCATCCAAAGGATTATCTCCTCCGACACGATCCCACGCCTCCGCTTGCTCGGATCCCCTCCTTTCCTACCACGCAGCCAGCTCTTCTCGCAGAGCACCTGCTGGGGCCCGCGCTTCTAATTGCCTGCGTTTTTGGACTCCGCTTAGAACGTTGCTATGGGGACGCCGAGTGCCTACACTTCGAACATTTACCTCTGACCAGGCAGAGCTGCCAACCAATGCCACCGCTCCAGGCTCTCGCTATTGCCGGGCAAGATTCCGCCTCCCTCTGCCCAGGAAGGATGACGGCCCCAGGCGAAAATAGGGCCACACGAGCCAGTGAGCACAAGGGGACGCGGCCAATCCGATCGCAAAAATTCTGGGTGGGCGGCCTCTGGTTTTAGACGTTTGTGAAACGGCGATGCACAAATACATACCAAACTGTCGGAAGACTTCCCAGTCACTTCCACGCCCAGTATCGTAATGAGAAGCACACATGGCATTGCCATGCCTGGAAGAAGCGGGGTCTAAAAGAGAGAGAAATGATGCCGTGTTGAATGGCAAGACGTGCACAGGGCTGTCGACGGCATTTTGCGGCCGGAACCTGCACCTCAGCGCCTGTGGGGAAGGCTGGGAGGAGGCGCCTTACCTTGCTGTCAAAACCCGGAGGCCCTTTGGAGACATTCAGGACAGCCGTCAGGGGGCATGGTTCTGCTCGTGCAGACTTTGTGTGTGTGTGCGTGCGTGTGCGCACTCACGGGGAGTTGCTAAGGAACCTAATCAGTTGGCTCTCCCACACCCAGAATGGAGGAGGGATGGGAATCAATGAGATTGCAGATGGGAACTGCCTGACACCGTCACCTCGCTGATAAAGCCTTCTTGGGAACAAAAAGCAACTGGGTGGCAGCTTTCAAGATTAATCGGAGACCGGGGGGGGGGGGGGGCGGGGGGGGGAGTGCAAACCAAGCACAAATGGCTTTTCTGACAACGTATGTATGTAGGCTTGCTCTCCCTAGCTTTCAGGCCTGAGGAATTTAGAGAAGTTTGCCCTCAGCCGTGCAAAGCAGCGTTGGCAGAAGCTTGTCAAAGGCTGTTTGTCCAGCCAGCCCTGTCTTGTCTGCTTGGACTGGCAAAGACCCTCATCAGCCACCTCGGGTTTGGTTTGTTTTCAATCACGGATGCCTTCCCATCGACCCTGGAACTTTCCGCCCATAAAGGAAATGTGCCATCGAGTCTCAGTCAGTTCATAAATTCATCCCAGGCTGCTTAGGAGAATCCAAGAGGCAAATATTTAGTCACCAAAGCAAGCAGCAAGTAAGGCCGAGACATCTTGCTTCTTGCAGGCATTCTCCAATGCAAGAGCGATTGCTCTGCAGGGCTTCAGACAGGAGGGTCCCCTTAGACACTGTCATCTGTAAATGTTTCTCCTCCAGCTTTATCTTTGCAATTCAGACTCGCAATTTACTCTCTCCCAGCAAAACTTTCCATCAGTCAATACTAGGGATGTATGAGAAATTAGCTTTCAGTTCGGGGTTTTTTTTTAACAATCAGAATTTATCCAGTGAATGCCTCCCAGAACCAAACACTGAAGTGAATACAATCTGCAACATGTTTGTACGTTTCTGAGATTGGGTTCTGATTCAGAGAACAAAAAAAAAAGTTTTTGGAAAATGCATGACTGGAAAAGTTGGCACTTTTGATAAATGCGTACAAAAGCTCTCCATCTGAAAGGGAGAAAATGCACAAGATTCAGAACTGATATGCATGTTTTCCAAACATACACAAAAATATGCAGGGACTCTCATGCTAGAAAAACACAAAACAAAATGAAGCTCACAAACAGGAAACAAACACAAGTCAGAATGAGCTTCAAGGGGGAATTTGGAGAATCTGAACAAACTCAAATGTTGTTGATTCGCACATCCTAGTCGATAATGAATCTGGGAAAAATGAGAATCTCATCAAGTCAAAACTACTGGGTGGATAAAGAAGCACATTCAGGTGGGAGCACTTTCCGCAGTCAACATCAATACCGAGAATTCAGTAATGGAGAATGCCATGTTTATTCTTTCCCATGTGCTTTTAAGGCTTTCTTTCATTTCATAAAACGAACATATGAAAAACATCTGCACAGCTGGATAAGAATCCCTAGAGAGGACCCACTTAGGTTCAAATTCCGACTCAAACCTGAAGCCTGGTTGGTGACTTTTTGCCAAACTCCCCCTCCCAGCTTAACCCACTGCGCAAGCTTGAGGCAAGGCACTATAGAGGAAAGCGGAAAACCATCCTGATCTGGGATGTTTGGAAGATGAGTGGAATCAACCATCAGTAATGAAGTGGTACCTTTCCAGGTAGAAGCTTAAGTAGCATCTTAAAAACACAATTTAGATTTCAATTGATAAAAACAGTGCTGCGTGGACAATATCCAGCGGCTGTATTAACCCCGGGGCAGAAGCCTCTGTTCACCTGGGGCGAATAGAAAGCTCCTCCAGGGGAACAATGAGGAACGATTTCAAAAACCCAGTTAATCGGCTCCCACCCCGCCAAGGCCACAAGTAAGCAACATAAAATGAGTTACGTCGAGTGAAAATTTATTTTGCTAATAACTTTAGTGAACCTATTTCGCAAGGCTGTTAGGCTCTAATTTCATATGCACAAATTGAGAAGCTCCTAGTAACATAAAAGCAATCTTTGCCAAATTAAAAAGGGAGAAAAAAGCTAAAAGAAATCCACACCAACTACACTGAACAAATTGGGTTTTTGATAAACCAAGATTAGAAAAATATATGCCTCTCTCAAGTGATAATTGGATATTTGCCCCCTCCCCTCAAAAGCCTTAGAAGATGAAGTATTCTCTTATCTCCAAAACCTAAATGACTGTAGCTGGCGGAGCTCAAGGAAGGAATAAACGTTCCAAATCCATCATCTTCCTCTTGACTGAACGCCTGCCCACTCACTCCAAGGAGTTTTGTCACATCAATGGATGATGGAGGCTTATTAAAAGAGGGAAGCAGAGAAAGCTTTGAAAGACACACACAGCTACTCTCCCTGTGCTAAAACAAACCAGAGAAATCAAAGCTTGTGCGCTGTCAGACTCCGATTCCTCCCATGCCTTTTGGCATTTTGCAAGTTGGACTGAGATCCATACGTGTGAGGAATTCCGAGGCAGGTGGGTTTTCCACAGGAAACAAAGAGAGCACTTGGTCCGATATAGTCCAGCACTTGGGCTTAAGGTTAATCTAGCAACTCAAATAAAATGGACTATCCCAGCCCAGGGTTTATGGGAAGCTGTCCCGGGATGTTTGTAGGCAACAGGATAGAACAGCTTTTAATAAATAAATAGCTTTTGTGGGAGTTTCGCCATATCGGTCACCTATCTTGTTCACCGTATCACCTAACATCTTACGTTAGAGAATACAAACGGTTAAAGCTCATGGGACAAATACTCAGCCGAGAATGTTCCCATTTTGACTTGTCTCCCTGCAAGTACACAGACGAGAGGAGAGGGTTCTTCTCTGTGTTAAGTTACTTACTACCATCTGGCCTATGTAGTCCCATATCGAGGTCCAAAAGTATGCCCAGGAATCCATGGTGGCACTTTTGCACTGGACTGTAGTGTCCATAAGCCACACGTGGCTGAAAAGCGAGGCAAAACTGTTATTCAGTTCGAGCTCTGTAGTGATGCAATAGCCTAATCACCGTAAGTTAGGAAGGAGTTACAGGTGGGCATCTGTGTAAGCGGGCCATTTCCAACACTGTGCCCAGCTTAAAGCATTCCCGGGTTTCAAAATGGGGGTTAAGGCACGTAAGTACTGATCCACAGGCAATTAGGGAAAAGGAAGTGGGTAAGGCCATGAGCAGATGCCTGGAAAGGTCTGGGCGCAACTCAAGAGGGCCAGATTTGGTCCAACAGCTCAGAGGTCCCTCATCCTCTCTTGAAGAAAAAGAGAGGCAGGCTGTCTCCCACAAAGGATGGAAACTAGACTGCTATTATGTTAGCGTCTCGACCACTCAAGAGCCAAGCTCTCTGTGTAGTTGGACAGTTCTTAAAGCGATGCTCAGGCAAACACCAGAAAGATTTTCAATGCAGAATATAAAAAGTGTAAATGTTTTAAAATATCAAAGACATGGAATGTGAGGTTAATGGAAGGGGCTGTCATTTACCGGTCAAACATACTGCATAATGTCTCCAATTCAGTCTTTGGAATCGCCCATGAAAAATGGTCAGACCACAGCGGACATGAAACACGGCTCTGCTGAACCCCCCGAAGAGACTGCCAGAATAAAATGCGATAGATGGACAAATGGCCTGAGCCCACTAAACAGCAGTTTTCCGTGGCCTATTTTGTCAACGAAACAGTTTCTGCACTTTCTGCTGGCCAGCGTTCCTTCCACAACAACTATCTATTTGGAAAATAGGTCAATGCATCACAGTCAAGATGGCCCAGCCATCAACCAGCCAATGCACTCCCACACCCTGCAACAAATATGTTAAATTATCTCAGTTTCTTAAAAAGAAAAAAGGAAAGGAAATTATTCTGGCTTTCCTAAAAATGCAGCTATTATTTTGAGAAACAAACGAGGATCCGCAGAAGACAGCCGTCTTTGTTAATGACTGTCTGACGACGCATCCGTGGTGGCTGTGGCCACTTGGTGCGAGCTGCGAATGATTTCCTGCTTCCTTCAAGGCAGAGAAACTGAAGCAGCTTGTTTGGACAAGTGTCTTACTGTTCGACCAAAACATCTGTCTTCGTGGGAGGAAGAAATGGGGAAAGATGTTGAAGGCCTGGCTGGATGAGGGACAGTATGTTGCAGTGAGAAGCGTGAACTTTGCACCAATGTCGGGATGGACAGGTTTAAGGTGGGTGGCTCTGTTTCCCAGCCTCGTTAAGTCCACTTACCAACGATCGCCTCTACGGGCCAATACTGCAAATTATAGCTGCGAATTACACTAAAATTAGAACATGTGTCCTGCAGCAGTTCAGCAAGAACAGGGTGCTGGAGTAATCTGCCTCTAGAGCAACATTGATCTGTCTTCCTCTCAGATCGCATTGCTGGTGCTTATATTTTGTCTGAGCCAATTTTTTTTCTTGCAAAGCGGACCAGTGTGCACACCGGAATCGCTTTAGGCAAGCCGGGCCTCAGATTCACTTCGCAACATCTCCTTCGAATGTGTGCAAGGCTTCCGAGGGCGGAGGGCTTGGACATGCGCTGGCGTCTTTCCTTCGGATCAATGCCGGGGCTGACCTGCAGCAGCATCGGAGGGGCGGATTTGGCTCAGGGACCTGCATCCAGTGTCCCTGGGGCCCAGAGCTCAGGTCTCTGGAACAGCTTCCAGCTTCGGGCAGGGGAAGGAGCTGTAGTCCCTTTGGTCTTCCAACCCCGGGATCTGGGCAAGGGCACAGAGACTCCTCTTCAGCTGCTCCTTGCCTTTTGGAGCCACTGGGTAGTCACGACGCTCTCCAAGGCGGGCTAAATTGGTGCCAAGACTCTATCCAGCCCATCCTTGCTTCCTTCCCTGCCTCTA